ATGGAACATGCTTGCTGAAATCCTGTTTACAACAAGAATTAACCTGGTTGAACTCATTAGAATTTTTAAAATTATTATTGAAAAGAAATTATTTTAGAAAATAATGCCATGTAAATGTAATATGCCATGTAAATGATTTTCTAAATCATTTACATGGCATATCAATAGAAGCCATTACTGTCCATAATTACATTATCCAATTGTAAGAGCCAGTCTGATGTAGTGGCTATGTTGTTGGACCAGGGTTAGAGAAATTTAGGTTCTTGTCCACAATTACCTGTGGAAACTTATTCAGTGGCTTCAATCCCGCTACTCTAAAGTCCAATCTATCTTGCAGGATGGTTGTTTTGCGAAAATAGGAAGTAGTGCTCTGCTTGCCATGTTGAATTCCTGTAGAAAATAATTGTTAAACTATTTAGAGCTAAGAAAAAAACCTGAAGAAATTGGTAATTATAAAACCTTTAAAAAAGAGGCACTTTGGTATCGTGGTTAAGGTGCTGGCCTAGAAACCAGGACACTGAGTTCTATACCTCCCTTAGGCATGAAGCCAGCTGGGTGACTTTGGGCCAGTTACTCTCTCTCTGAGCCCACCTCACAGGGTTGTTGTGGGGAAATAAGATAGATGTATTAGGTATGTTTGCAAGAGAGTGAAAGACAGACAGACAGACAGACAGAAAAGGCAGGTTAAAAGAATCTAATACTTGATCATAAATGTCTAGGTTCTTAATCCAGTACACTACTGCCTTTGTCAAATTTTCTAGGAAGTAATATCAGGTATCATTTTCTACCTCCTTTCATTTCTAACTTAATGGATTTTTCAGCATCTTTGTTTTTTAATCCAGCAATTTATCTACAGCTTTTTGTTAGATCTGTCAGAATTACTCTACAAAATGGGGAAAAAAGTCCAATCAAATACATTGTTTTATACATTCGGTAGTTTTTTCCCCTTTCAGCTTTAGAGCATGACAAGTAAGCATGAATGATACTTGCTATTTTGTTTTGACATATAATATAGGGAACAATTTAAATGCCAAATAGCTTTTTAATAATTGAAAAAAAAGCATGGCTTTTTTTTTTTGCAAAGTAATATTTTTTTTACTTGCAGATAGAGGAGGCTGGGCAGGTATTTCTCTTGATGAAGGACTATCGAATTTCACGTAATGTGCGCCTAGCCTGGTTTCTTGGTCATTTGCATCAGGTTATCTCCTCAATGTCTGAAGCTGAATTGGTGAGTGAACTTTATTGCAAAGCTTCTAAACAAATGTTTTTGTATTGTGGGAGAAGCAGGAAGGGGTTGAGTTCACATGACTCTAGGAAGATAAATTAACATGTGAAGTCCTGTCACTTCTTTCAACTTTTGTTTTTAGTTTTGTCTCTGCTTAGTTTTTTGTTTTGTTGAAGGCAAAGTCAGACAGTGAGTTAGATGTTCTCAGCATCCTGCCAAACAGCTGGCAACCCAATGAGCCTTTGCAAACTAAGACGTACCTCCTGGTGCCTTCGACACATGTCACTTTCCTTGCACGCCGGTACCGTTTTGTGATTGAACTGGATTTGAGTCCATCTACAGGGATTGTAGTAAGTATGTTAATCTCTCCAAACTGTGGTTTGCGTTTTTCCGTCCTTTTCTTTTCTTTGGCTGGGAGTGCTTCCTGTTCAAGACTCTCAGAAATATATCCCCTTTTGGAGGGAAGCCTGCCTGGTAGCTCTTGTTTTTTATCTAGCTTACATTTGTAGAGCGGTTTAATCTGCATATTTCCACAGGTAAAAATTATTGTGAGTTCCAAGTATTAAAAATGTTCACATTGTAAAATTCCTATGATGTACTTCCAGATAGGTGGAGGTACTTATTTTTGAGATAAATTGAGGAAAAGTCAGATATGCTCTCATTTTTTTTTTCAGGATGACTCTACTGGGGAGATAATTTTTGACGAAGTGTTCTATGCCCTCTCACGGTGTTTAGGAGGATTGTTAAAGCCCTTTAGAATCCCAGGTTCTGCCATTATATTCCAACCTGAGATTTTCATCACTATCCAAGTATATTCTTCCATCATTAGCCTACAGACACATCAGGTAATTCTTATACTTTCAGTGTTGAGATGTTAATATGAAATGCTTAAACAGCTTATAGTAAAAACTTCTTGTTGCTAGGGAATACAGTACATAGGCTATAATCTGCAGCATTTTAAAGCAGGGCTAGGCAGCCTGAATTACTTCTGGGCGTTTTGGACTACAGCTCTTATAGTCTGTAACATTGGCTATATGCAATATGCTTTATGAAAAACATAGTCCAAAGCACCTGATGATATCGTGTTGCCTGCCTGTGTTCTAAAGAACGTTTGTTGACTAGAGCGTGCTGCGTGTGGACATATCTTCCTGGTAAACTTTTTATATGCAATGGACAGGCTAGTAATATGTTGCTGATATGATCAGCAAAAAAGGTGACTGTTGGCCCAGGTGAACTTTGCACCCTTGCTCTATTATCTATCTATTTTCATAGATGTAATGTATGTTTTTGAAAATATATTTAGATGTATAATATATTCATTGTTTAAGTCATCTAACATAGAATGTGGATCCTTTGTGTTGAAATTCAATTATGCAAACTAGCAAAAAAATTAAAGCTACAGAGAGATACAAGTCTTCAGTTTGCCAAGCAGATGAACATTTTAGTTTTAACCGCTGTTTTGTATGTCTGTATATTTCAATCTGCTATTTTATTCTTTGTTAGCTAGTGAACTAATACAGTTCCCTTTTCAAATTTTCTTGGGTTTTGTTGTATGCTGTTTACTTCATTGCCAAATAAAACCCACAAATCGGAAAAAATAAACTTTTTTTGTCTATGGCAGGTACTGTTCCAGGGTTGCCTGCTGGATGGAACAAAGATAGAAAGCTTTTTGAACCAGGTTTACACACAGTTGTGCGCCTTTGAAAACAAAGTGGCTGAGATGCTCCAGCAGCAGTATGAGGCCAAAACTCAGGTGAGAAACCATAGTAACTTTTTTCTTCTTGAATGAGTGGGAAATCTCTTCATATTCTTTCCTGATTAGCCTGGTGAGGGCCTTTTCTATTTTGCCCACCAGTCCATGTTGGGACCTTCCCCTCAGGGAAAAAAATGGACTTAACTAAGTTATCTACACAGAGGGATTTCATTGAAACTGGCTTAATAAGCCTTGCAAAAATGGTTTTGCTATATATAGTACTTAATTTGCTTCTTCAGCCATGGCAAATTGATGAGCTGAAAAGTAAGGGGGAAGAAAAGGAGCCAACACTTAGGAGCTCTTACACAAATTACAGTGTCTTAGCCTATGGTGTAGAGATGACACCATAGAGATAACGTTCTGCTTTAGAAGTTTGCGAGAAGGAATATGTTTAAAATGCTCTACGTGTATTAAAACACTATGGAATATTAAATCTTAGTTGTGCAAGAGGAGACTAGCTTTAATGACTTCAATGCTCTACTGGAATGTAAAACCTGAAGGTATCTGGAATGGATGATAATATTGCTCTCTGTCTTTCTTATGTCCTGGAGTTCAGAGGTGGTAATTGTTAGCACTGAATAGTAGTGTATAAAGTTGCTGTTTGTAAGGGCAGGACGTATGAGCTTGTTAGAAAGAGCCTAATGACTGTGCTCAAGGGAGTATTTGAAGCTCTAAAATAGAGATTTACTGTCCTGATAATGGGAAGTTTCTTCAGACTTCTGTTGAGGATCAGAATAATTCTAGCCTTGCTTCAGATGACTCCTGTCTGGCAGGTACTGGAGCAACAGAAACAGTGCCCTGAACAACTTAGCTAAATGGGTATTTATGAAGGTGTGTCCAACAGGATGTTGAGTCAAAAGGATTTTTGAAGAAATTTCTAATGACCCTTCACTTTTCTAGCTGAGTAAATAGAATTTTTCTTACTAAAGGTTCTTTTTCAAGTTTCTGTAACATGATTACTTTTGTGAGAACTAATGAGAAACATTGTACAGGTAGTCCTCATTCAGCATATGCAATTGGGACCAGCAACTTGATCATTAAGCAGAGCGTTTGCTAAGTGAAAAATCACATGACTGCAACTGTGCTTACCATTTTACTTCAGCTTTTGTTTGCTGTACAGCATCAGAAGGATATGACCCCAAGCAGCCGGCTGAACTGGTACAGCTAGGACAGTTTCAGGAACTTGACTCATGAGGAAGCTGAGTAAAAGGGCAAATCTTATAGTCCTTTTTCCCTACTCCCATGCCCTTTGGAACACTTACCTCAGAGTTAGGCTAATTAGCAAGAAGGAAATTAAAGTTTGTATTTACATACATTGGAGAGGAAGGGATTACAAGAGAGTAAGCAGGCACACAAAGGGGAATACACATCGAAAGGAATGCACAAGTGCCTGCTGCCTAAGCCACAAGCCACTTAGGAGGCAAAAAAGCCTTCAGTGTGAAATTGATTAGGGTTTTGTCAGTGTCAGGCAGCAGCCTGAACCAGCCAGAAGATTGTAATCAACTAATTAAGATCACAGAGCTGAATTTGTTAACTTGGGCTGAGGAGAAAAGCAGCTCATGAAGAGATAGCTTATTTGGGCAAAGTGTCTGCTTTGTGAGGAGAGGGGGAAAAAATGGATCAGCCACGGGACACAGCAAACTCACTGTAATG